CAAAAGCTGATTCATCTTTCATAGGCCTTGGCCATGCTATGCATCTCTAAGAAGCTCCTCATGTACGTCTGCCGAGCGACGTCTCACTCTGCCACTCTTCCACCCTCCCAGGCTGCTGCTGCCCCGTTCCAACGCTGTACTCACCGTCGTCCGTTCGCATTGCTCCTGCCTAGTAATCCACATTGTTCTGTTGTTTCCTATACCGTGTTCTGTTGGTTACTAATGAACCATAATCTCTCTGGTGTGACAACAGTGATATTGCGCACGCTTCCAGAACGCCACGTTGAGTGCTTAGAAATAAAGCAAACTTGTTCGGAACACAGAGCGATAAGAAGCGTTCTGCTGAATAGCGCTACCTTCGAAACCGTTTTTTGGCATTCTTGAAACAAAGAGGTCATTCTCCACAAAGATGAAGATCAACAGGCACTCGGTGCGGCGCTTCCTCACAGGCAAAAGAAGATGAGCATCCATTGCAATAGGATATTTCAGACTTTATCGGATTCACAACATGAATGGAGACCCATTCATATAAAGCTCTTTATAATTATTGGCGCTCTAAAATTTCGCTCAACTGTACTATATGGTAATCACATGACTATGTTCTCATCATCTTCCATCTACTGTTAGAGCAGCGCTCTTCGCGCTGTGATCAGCATCACACAACCATAGCTGACTCATCCTTTTACAGGGCATGGCCGATGGTATGCATCTCTCGGTAAGAAGCTTCTCGTGTACGTCTGCCGAGCGGCGTCTCACGTCGTCTCTTCCACCGTCCTGAGCCGCCGCTGCCATATTCCGACGCTATACTCACCTTCGTCCATTACGCGTTACCTTCTACCCAGTGATCTATAGTGCTTTTTCCTATACTGTGTTCTGTTTTGGTGACTGATAAACTATAATCTCTCTGGAGAACGGCTAGCCCAGAGTTTCTTTTGTCTGTTATTCTTATTGCATGCCTTCTGTCCGGTAGGGCCGACTACAGTATCTAGCCATTTTTGTAAGTCTCCCAATATCAAGGACTGAAACTATCTTTCTATAATGTTTTCTATTTGAGGAGCTTCTACGGGTTATCAAGTTGGTGGCTTTGCATTGTGTAGTTAATAGTTTCGCTTCCTTCGCTACGTGGTACTAGTACCGTTAACGTTTTTTGCTTTGGTATGTTCATTAGTTGTCTGAGTACTGTGTATTTAGCGTGGTCCACGCAGAGCTATTACATATGTGTCGTGTTGTGCACCAGATATAAAGAGTCGTGTCCGCATGCGTTGAGCCATTGAAGTGAAGAATTGAGAAGTAGGAAATTGAAGTTGCATGTTGTTGAGTTATTATGTGAATTGGAGCATACTGTAAAGGGAAAACTGGAGCATATTGTGATGTGATTAGAGATCGGGTCTGGACCTGTCGGTGAAGTTGCACATGCATTTATGAAGAGTTGATTGTTGAGCAGAGTGGAGTCGAGAATTGAGCAGTGTTAAGGGGTATTACGTTGTGATGAGCAGGGCTCCAGAGTATAGAAATAAGAGAAATAAGCAGCAGATGATCATGAGGTTTAAGAAGTGAAGCAGCTAATGTCGACGTCGTAATTGGTGAAATACAAGGTGAGAGAAATTTCATGGCACTTTTTCGTAAAAAAGTTTAGTTGGGGCCTCCTCTTTGATATGGTCAGGGTATTCAACAAGCTTTTCCTTGGTACACATGGTGCCTTCAAATCATTCAATTGCGTTGCAAAACCCCCCATAGTTCGCACTCATGAGAGACCTCCCCATCCCTCTTTCGAGGAGCAGGGAGCCCCCCATTACGGGAAACTCCAACCGCCGTTCAAAGGTTCCGGCCTGTGGCTGGCCGCTTTGAGACTGTCTACATTCAAACTTCGACAAAGATGGTGAGTTCGAGTTCCATTGATTGTTTGGCCGCTTCGCCATCATTTGAAAAATATCTTAGTAGAGGAGTCCCTAGTAGCTCACATTTCTCTCTTATTGTTAAAAGCATTTATACCAAACTCGGGCAGGATGTCTCGCTTCTCATTACTTGCCTTGATTCATTTTAACGATAACTTTTACACTCCGTTTCTTCCAAACGATCTCCGATGAGCTCGTGCACCAACGCTCATTGTTCTTCCGTACGTCCCGAATAATTCTCTTCTTACGCTTTCTCCTTAAAAAGTATCCATTTTAACTGTTTTTTTTTCAAATCGGTTCACTGTTTCAAGTTATCTTTATTGTTCGTTCTGCATTTTTGAAAATCGCAATTGCATTGCTCTCGTCGGTTCAACTGACTATTCTATCTTTGCCGCTACTATTACGGTATCGCTTAAGCTTACCGTAGCACTCTCCTCAAAAACCGAGTTTTCATGTTATCTTGACCGCTCTCCGCAAGGACAATGTTTTTCTGAAACCTTTGTCTGGTGGTCTCGTTACCATTCCAACCATACCCTTTGACATTTGTTTAAATCTGCTATAGCTGGGAAAGCGATGGGACAACTGATAAAAAGACATCTTCTTTTTCCGCTACCATGAGAACTTTCATCGCTCCCCTCATATCGTGGAAACACATCACATAACTCCATCCCTCATCCGCTTATTTGATTGAAAGTTTTCATCGAAATGTCCATTTCACTCCTCCGCCTTTACTATTCATTGTAACTGTGTTAGTCGTCTGGGGTTTTATTAAGCTGACTGATGGGCCCACCTGTGACAAGGTTCCGTACTTATTCTTCTAATTAACGGGCACTAGCCCCGACTCCACAAGATGAAACGTGCTCTTTCTCTCACAGAGCGGCGATTTTCAGATGACTAGGCCGTTCGTGATCGAGACGTTAAAGAACTCCGTGATGCAACCGCTCAAGTCAGGGGGCATGGAAGGATTCAAGATCAGCCCTCCGCATTGGCAAAACAAGTCAATGACTCGAATCATAATAATTACAAGGTCTTAACGAATCTTTCATCGCGGTAGGCCATCGAATTGAGAGTGTTCTACAAGTTACTCGTGTGTCCGGAAGGGTAGACAACAAATTAGCTAATTCAGAATGGATACGGCGTTTTGAAGACTTACAGAATATGCGCGCTA